CATTTCTGATGAAGGGTCTAGGCCCAAAACATCAGCCTTTCTGCTCCTATGGTGCTGCTTGACCTGCTGTGTTCATCCAGCTCTACACCTTGTTGACTGAGATTCGCTGTCCAGTGTATCAGAGTGAGTCCTTGTTTCTCACAGAATCACTAAATTATTCCTGTGGTGAAGGAGACCATTTAGCCCATTTTGTGATCGTGTCTCTCTGAATGAGTGTGTCACTGAACGCCCATCTCCAGCCATTTCCCCATATTATTTCTATTTTAATACTCATTTCAACCCCTCTTCGATGCATCTCCCTCTCTGCCTCCTCCTGCTCTCCCTCTCTGTCTCCTGCTCTGTCTGTCTCCCTCTCTTCCTGTGCACTCTCTCTCTCTCCCTCTCTTTCTCAAGGTCTTCTTGTCCAGAGGTCAGACACAACAGGGATACCTCACTCAGAGGTAACTTTACTCTTATGCTGCAGAATTCCTGTGGACTCGGATTCCCACCGCGGAGTGATCCGGCAAAGACAGGATTGTGTGGAGAGTCGGAAAATAGCCAGTCAGCAGGATTTGCTGTCTGTCAGCCTCAGGAACTGTATCCGGGAAAACAATATCCCCGCAAGCAATCAGGTAATAAGGATCTCACTGTGTTTGCCTCGAAAAGCCCCACAGAACACAGCTCACTGAGAGAGGAGTTCCGGGAGAGTTGGGGGTTGGCACTGACTCCCAGTCAGTGGGAGATAGAAAAATAATTGCGTTGCAAATCACAGGAAAGTGCAGAAACCATGGGGCAGCAATAATGGGGAGAGGGGGTGCTTTTAATGATTCAAACATTAACAGGGAGAGATCATCAGGAAAGTTCTAGAAGGTGCAGTGTTCTTAAACACTATTCGAGGAACTCCTTACAGCCATGTGTAGCATGCCAATGAGAGAGGGGGACCAGTTCTGGGTTTAGTTTGGGGGAATGAAGTTGGGAAGCTGTAAAGGGTATCTGAGGGAGAGGATCTATTCCGAAACTGAGATGCAGTTTGGCAAAAGTGGACTGGAAATAGCTACTTGAAGATATTAGTTTAGCCAGAGACATTAGGGGAGGAGATAATGAGGAGGGGGGCGTGCGGAGTGACTTTTCTTGGCTTTGTAGGTGGGACTAATAAATTCAGATTCCCCTCACACCCCACTCCCGCAACCACATCCCTGGTCCTTGATTAAAAATGCCAATCTGTTGGTCGTGTGCAAACTGTTGGAAGTGAACCTGAGGGACAATATAAATTGTCATGTCACTGTGGATAAATCACAGTGAGTCAGCACGGATTAATTAAGGGAAGTAATCACAGAGAATGCTGGAGAAACTCAGCAGGTCTGGCACCATCTGAGGAGAGAGGAAAAACAGAATTGACATTTCAGGTCCAGTACTGAAGAAGAGTCATGTTAGATTGGATAAAGAAAATAAGTGTCTGACAATCTAAAAAAACATTCACCCTAGTGATACTGAACTCAGAAACCCATTCAAAACTCCTCTACATGCTCAATCAGCCTTAAAAACGCACAAACCCCTCCACACTGACCATATCAAGTTAGTCTAATCATTCAACAGCTTCTTAAATCTGTCAATCAAAATTATGAAATCTCCAGCATTCCCCCAAGTAGTTTTAGAAATTAAGCCAGACATTGGCCTGGTGACTCAGTGAAGGCAGGACTCCAGGAAGCTCAGAGGAACAGAGAGATCTTGGGGATAGTAAGAACTGCCGATGCAGGAGTCAGAGATAACACAGTGTGGAGCTGGAGGAACACAGCAGGCCAGGCAGCATCAGAGGAGCAGGAAAGCTGATGTTTCGTGTCGGAACCCTTCTTCAGAAATGGGGTGATTTTGGGCTGTTTGTCCTCGGATCCCTGAAGGTGGCAGGACAAGTTAATAGAGTTGTTAAGAAGGCATATGGAGCGCTTACCTTCATCAGTCGTGGTATACATTACAAGAGCAGGGAGGTTATGTCAAAGCTGTACAGAACTTTGGTGAGGCCGTAGCTAGAGCACTGTGTACAGATCTAGTCACCGCACTATAGGAACGATGTGATTGCACTGGAGGGGGTGCAGAAGAGATTCACCAGGATGTTGCCTGGGATGGAGCATTTCAGCTATGAAGAGAGACTGGAGCAGAGAAGGCTGAGGGGTCCTGACAGGTATATAAGATAATGAGGGACATGGACAGGGTGAGTGGAAGGCAGCTGTTTCCCTTAGTTGAAGGGTCAGTAACGAGGGGGGAATAATTTTAAGACGAAGGGCATAAGATTCTGAGGGGATTTGTTGAAAGGTGTTTTTCCCCAGAGGGTGGTGCTGGGATACATTGTCTGGGAGGGTCGTTGAGGTGGGAAACCACACAACCTTTAAAAAGTAGTTGGATGAATACTTGAAATGTCATAATATTCAAGACTGTGGGCTAAATGCTGCAAAATTGGATTCATTGGTTGGCACGGACTCAATGGGCTGAAGGGCCTCTTTTGAACAACATGTCTCTATGATTCATTAATTATGCACTCGACTATAATATTATCGCGAGGGAAATATCAACAATGAAATCTATTAAAACTGCAGAAACAGGTGGCTAATGATATTTTCTAGGATACACCAGATGGCCTGTCAATTAAAGCACTCCTACAATGACTCCCTTCCTTTCTACTGAAAGCATCCACATGTTTTCTTAACTTCATATAAGAATCACAAAAGAATTATAGAAGCGCCAGAGTGTAGAAGCAGGCCATTCAGCCCAGTGAGTCCTCACCAACCCTCCAAAGAGCACCCCACCCAGACCCAACTTCTAAACGGCAGGCGATTTGAAAAACTGCAGACTTAAGCAGACTTTATTGACCCTGTAGTTTAAGGCCATTGAAATAATGAAACTGATGGAGATTTGAACTCAGCATCAGTTATGAATGAGCCTGCAGAAACTGGGTTTTCTGCTGGATTGTTTCACAGCCTGACCCCTTCTCTCCACCAGCTGACATGGGGTCTGCTCGAAATGGAAATGGAAATGGAAATGGGACCAGTCCCATTCAACATCATTTATCAGACTCCACTGAAAGTCTGGCTGATGATATCAGGCAACCTGGCCAAGCCCTCCATCTTCTGGTCTTCAGCAGCTGGGGGCTGAATGGAGAGACACTCACCAGATCACAGAGTCACTCTGCTGTCAATACTAACTCCAGATTCCAACCTCAACAGGGACCGACAGTAGCTGTTTTTTTATCTTCTTTAGGAATGGACATACACCCAAGAACAGCAGATCAGTCAGAACCAGCACTGTCTGTCTGTGGCCAGTTTGTTCCCAGGAGCCCGGGTTATTTTGGTGCCCTGTCGAGACAGAGATGGGAAACAGGTAAATAATAACACTTACTGCCAGATTATCATTCAATATGCTGAGTGTTAGAACCTAAAAAACAGGTGAGGGTGTGTGTGTGTGTGTGTCTGTGTGTGTGTGTGTGTCTGTCTGTCTGTGTGTGTGTCTGTCTGTCTGTGTGTGTGTCTGTGTGTGTGTGTGTATGTGTGTGTGTGTGTGCGCCCGCATATTTCTGTATGTGTGTGTCTGTGTGTGTGTGTGTGTGTGTGCGTGTGTGAGTGTGTATGTGAGTGTGTACGTGAGTGCATGTGTGTGTGAGTGTGTGTGGTGTGTGTGTGAGTGTGTGTGTATGCGTGTGTGTGAGTGTGTGTGTGTGTGCATGTGTGCGTGTGTTTGTGTGAGTGTGTGTGTGTGTGTGTGTGTGTGTGTGTATACCCGTGTCTATCTGACCTGAGCAGTAGAGACAGGAAACCTCACAAGTTTTACAAAGTACCTGGATGGGCACTTGAAATGTCATGGCGTTCAAGGCTATGGGCCTAGTGCTGGAAAGTGGGACCGATTGTCGAGTCAGTGTAGGTTTTTATCGATGGGCTGAAGGGCCTGTGCTGTACTGTGTGAGTCTATGATTTGGTGGGTGTGTGGTACCTCCCTGTGTGGACGGTCACGCCCAACAGTGAGGACAGACTCAGTGCAGTTACCTAACCCTCCCTACCTACCTGTGCGCGATAATATGCTCAGAAAGTGCATGAAGCATCGAGTTTGCGTTTTGAAAGTTTTCTTTCATACGGTTATACTGTCATGAAACAGATTGTAATTCACTGACAGGTATTCTGAGCCCAGAGGCTCCCGTGCTGAGTTTAGCTGCAGTTCAAGTGCTGTGATGGGTTTTGATTCAGTCTGTTCCTAAACATGACATTAAGTACACACACAGCCAAAAGATCTGTATGATGCTGACGTGTTGTCTAGTATACAATCTCCACCCAGTGCCGGACCAGGCACACAGGATGTGTTGCTGTATTCCCATGTAGATGAGTTGTCATCCATCAGAAGTCATTGGTACAAAAGTTTCTGTTTCCGGAAGGGTGTTTGACTGTGCCAGATGGGTAATCGTCACAGATACTGGGTTTAGAAATCTGCCCAGTTTTATCCGTGAGAAAGAGTTGTCAGTTGATAAAGGAGCCAGTGGCACAGATCCCCATTGAGATGAGATCATTGTGATCAACACTTAGACTCTTTGTCAAACTCATCCCTATCTTTGTGGCCAGAATTAGATAAGAACGTGGAAGACCAAGTGAAACAGGAGAGAGGGTGACAGGCTTCAGTAAAGAAACCGCCATCAGTATCTTTCCAAACATGGGAATGGCCAACGAGAGTGTGATATAGGCTACACATGGATCATTTCAATGGAGTCAGCCCTTCATTGTAATAGACAACCATTCAGTGTGGGTTGAGGTATTTGTAATGGCCAGCAAAATGTTACCACCATTCCTGTAGGTTCGTTGTTGCTTAGGATTCCCATAGGAACTTGTATCTGTTACCGGTCCTCAGTTTGGTTGTGAAGAGTCTCCAAATCTCATGAGAATGAAGATGGGGCCGAATGCAATGGGGAGGCAGTGGCCTAGTGGTATTATTGCTAGACTATTAATCCAGAAAGTCAGTTAATGTTCTGGGACCTGGGTTCAAATCCTGCCGTGGCAGATGGTGGAATTTGAATTGAATAAAGAATCTGGAATCAAGGGTCTAACGACAATCATGGAACCATTTCCTATTGTCAATGTTATCCTTACCCGGTCCATGTGACTCCAGACCCACAGCCATGTGGTTGATTCATAACTGCCGTCTGGAAAATTAGGGATGGGTAATAAATGCTGGCCTAGCCAGCGAAGACCTCATCCCGTGAATGAATGAAAAAACACCACTGGATTTCACTATATCACCCTGCTTCAAATGGATCAGCAGGACATGTAGGACCAGATGTTAAGTGTGCTCGTGTTATATTGAGGATGGAGTGAGAGAAAAGGAGTCTGAATTTGAACCAGAAATTTGAGGTGAGATCGTTGAAGCGGGGGATGCCAGGGAGAGTTAGCAAGAGGTGTAGTGGTCACATATTAAGATGTTCATTAGGTTAGGTTTGTAGGTGTAGAGCATTTTTACTTTTCAGAGGCTCAGGAAGAGTTAAAAGTCAAACAAATCTGATGGATTGGTTGGGATGTGAGTCTAACCTGAACCAGTTCAGATGGTGGTCAGAGTCAGACACACATGACCTAATGATAGAGATAATTCTATTGATAGGCAAGAGAAAATGTCTCCTCAGGCTGAGGCCAAGACTATTCAAGGTCCTTCCCTAAGTTCTGAAAGATGGAGCCAGTAAAAAAAAAGTATCCTTTATGGAGCAGGGAGTTGGTCATTAGGTGAAATTTGTAAAGAAATGGAGAACGAGGGATTTTTATGAGTTGTATAGAATTTCGAACATTGTATAACATCTTCATTAGGGAGGGAGGGGTATTATATCAGCCTCTTGTTTACATTTGTATATTTATAGATACCACATTAATCCAGTTTAGATTAATGTTGACATTCCTTCTACTGCAGACTCTGCGGTCTGTAATGCAAGGATACCACAATATTTGTGCGATATGTGTGGAGTAGGGATCAGTGTGTGTGTGCACATGTATGTGTGTGTGTGTGTGTGTCTATGTGTGTGTTTCCCTTTGTCTATGTGTTCATATATGTGTTTCTCTGTGTGTGTCCATGTATGTGTGTTTTTGTGTGTGTGTGTGTGTTTCTCTGTATCTGTGTGATGTGTGTGTGCCTGTGTGTGTGCGTGTTTCTCTGTATCTGTGTGATGTGTGTGTGCCTGTGTGTGTGTATGTGTGTGTGTCTGTGTGTGTGTGTGCGTGTTTCTCTGTATCTGTGTGATGTTTGTGTGTGTGTGTGTGTGTGTGGTTCTCTGAGTCTGTGTGTGTGTTTGTATGTGTGTACATGTGTGTGTGTCTGTGTGTGTGGGTGTGTTTGTTTCTCTGTATCATTATGTGTGTTTCTCTGTGTCTAGGTGTCTGTGTGTCTAGGTGTCTGTGTCTGTGTGTTTGTGTGAGTCTGTGTATGTGTTTGTGAGATTATGTGTTTCTCCTTGTCTGAGTATGATGTGTGAGAATCTGCATGGGTGTGCATGTTTCTCTGTGTCTATGTATATGTGTGTGTGCCTGTGTGTGTTTGTGTGTGTGTGTGTGTGTGTGTGTGTGCGTGCGTGTCTGTGCCTATGTGAGTGTGTGTGTGTCTGTGTCAATGTGTGTGTGTCTATGTATATGTGTATGTGTCTGTGTCTTTGTGTGTGTGTGTCTGTGTCACTGTGTGTGTGTCTATGTATATGTGTATGTGTCTGTGTCTGTGTGTGTGTGTCTGTGTCCATGTGTGTGTGTCTGTGTCCGTGTGTGTGTGTCTGTGTGTGTGTGTGTGTGTGTGTGCGTGTGTGTGTGTGTCTGTGTGTGCGTGTGTGGATGGGTGTGTGGGTGTGTTTCTCTATGTCTGTGTGTGGGTGTGGATGTGTGTCTTTATGTAATGTGTCTGTTTCTGTGTGTGTGAGTATGTGGGTGATTGTGTGAGTGTGTGTGTTTTTCTGTGTCTGTGTCTGATGTGTGTGTGTCTGTTTGTGTGAGTGTGTGTGTTTCTCTGTGTCTATGCATGTGTGTGTGTCCATATGTGTGTTTCTCTGTGTTTGTGTGTGTATGTGAGAGGGAGAAGTGTGTGTGTTTCTCTGTATTTGTGTGTGTCCCCTTGTGTGTCCGTGTCCGTGTGTGGGTGTGTATGTTTCTCTGTGTCTATGTATATGTGTGTGTGTGTGTGTTTTCTCTATGTCTGTGTGTGTTGTCTGTGTGTGGGTGTGTGTGTGTTTCTGTGTCTATGTATTTGTGTGTGCGCGTTTCTCTATGTCTGCGTGTGATGTCTGTGTGTGGGTTTGTATGTTTCTGTGTCTGTGTGTGTGCGGTTGTGTCCATGTATGTGTGAGTATATGTGTTTCTCTGTGTCTGTGTGTATGTGTGTCTGTATCTGTGTTTCTCTGTGTCTAAGAATGTGTATGTGTGTGTGAGAGAGAGTGAGTGAGTGTGTGTGTGTGTGTGTGTGTTTTTCTGTGTCTGTGTGTGAGAGAGAGCATGTATGTTTCTCTGTGTGATGTGTGTGTATGTGTTTGTTTCTCTGTGTCTGTCTGTGTGTGTGTGTGTGTGTTTCTCTGTGTCTGTGTGTGGGTGTGTGTGTGTTTCTCTGAGTCTGTGAGAGAGAGCACGTGTTTCTGTGTCTGAGTGTGATGTGTGTGTGTCCATGTGTATCTGTGTGTGTGTTTGTGTGTGTGTGCGTGCACGCGTGTGTTTGTGTTTCTGTGTGAAACAATCCTGCTAATATTTGCCTGTGTTGTATTCTGTGCTCCCCCAGCTCTGGCAGAGGGTTGGCTCCCGTATCGAGCACCAGGTATCTCGTTACTGTTTGGACAGTGACCTATCGGGCAGCGATGAGGTCTACAGCACAAAAATCCTGGTGATCAACCCGTGTGAGACAACGATTCTCAGCCAAAGGTGGGACATGGAGTAGGTCCCCTGGGAATGAGGAGGACAACAGGGTGTCAATCTTCAGCTGTGGATGTAAAAATTGATGAATTACCGAGAGATTAAGTACTGCTTCCTGTACTCAGAGAGTCGGTTTGAAATCTAACCAAAGTCCTTTCTGATCTTTATGTCTGGAAAAGATGTAGAACTCATGCCCTTGATTAGCTTATCTTTGGGATAACAAAGTGATAGGCCGATACTTCATTGCCATGGCGATAGAGAACCTATGAATGTAGACACATCAAAGTGGACAAATCTAGCAACTCCTTGGAAACGAATAATTTGTTTTCATTTGGAGAGTTTAAAAAAATACTAAATATTGAAGTGGCAGCTTCATATTCTGTCCTTTTGCTACACAAACGCCTTTGTAAATTCTCCGGCTGCCTGAAGGGTAATGGCTTGAGCCACATGTGGCTGTTTGAAGGAAGGAGGACACAATTTGGAACTGAATATTTTTTATTCATTCACGGGATGAGGGCATCGCTGGCCAGGCAACATTTATTGCCCACAGGGCAGTTAAGAGTCAACCACATTGACTGTGGGTCTGGAGTCACATATAGGCCAGACCAGGTAAGGATGACCATTTCCTTCCCTAAAGGACTTTAGTGAACCAGAGAGATGGTCACGATAATCAAACGTAGTCACCATTGGAAAAGCTTTCTATTCATTCTGATCTCATCCCAAACACCTTCAGTGATCCAACACAGATCCATTCCTGATGACCCCTGTCAAAGGGAATGATTCCCCACTCAGAGGGAATCAGTCTAATGAATCCAATCCAATAGCACTCTGCCATAATTGTCCCATTCCGAAAGGAATCACCCATACTGATCCTGAGCAATCAATCTCATTGACCATTATGCAAAGGAATCCACTGGGTTACTGAGTCACAAAATGCAGAGAGTAAAATTGAGGGAGTGTAAAACGGTGTTGGTGTTGGGGGGGGTGGAGTGCAAGATTCGGTGGAGGGGAGTGCAAGATTTGGGAGGGGAGTGCGAGACATGGGGAGAGTGCAAGACATGGGGGAGAGTGCGAGACTCGAGGGGGAGTACCACAGAGTGTCCACGCAGTAAAGGGAGCTGGTGCCTTTGCTATGTGCAAATATCAGTCAGATCAAACCCACACAGTATCTCATCCTCCATTGTATTTTACCAAACCATACACCCACTTGTGTCAATTCATTGTATTCCCCAAACTCTGGCACCACTTGCCAATCTCTGGGGCAGTCTGTAGGTCCCCACACAGATACACTACACCCTGGCACAGTGGCCATCTTAATTCACAGGATGTGGGCATTGCAGGCTGGTCTGCATTTACTGCCCATCCCTAGTTGCCCCTTGAGAAGGTGGTGGTGAGCTGCCTTCCTGAACCGCTGCAGTCCATGTGCTGTAGGGGGACCCACAATGCCATTAGGGAGAGAATTCCTGAATTTTGACCCAGTGGCAGTGAAGGAACGGCAATATATTTCCAAGTCTGGATGGTAACTCTCCAACAGAGGAAACAACCCTTCCACATCTGACCTGTCAAGTCCCCTTAGAATTTTGTATTTTTCATAAGATCGCCTCTCATTCTTCGAAATGTCAGTGAGTATAGACCCAAAATACTCAACCTGCCCTCATAAGAAAATCTCTGCATGCTGAGAATCAAACTAGTAAATCATCTCAGGGCTGGATCCGTTGCCTTTGTATTTATCCTTAGATACATCCTTCGATTAGGAAATGAAGACAGCTCACAGTATTCCAACTGTGGTCTGACTGGTGTCTTGTACAGTTTTAGCAAAACCTCTCTATTCTGAGACTGTATTCCCTTTTGAAATCAAGGCCAACATTTCATTAGCCTTCCTGATAACTTGGTGAACATGAATGCTCACTTTTTTTGTGATTTCTGCACTGGGATCCTGAAATGACACACAAATTCTGTAATTCATTGGCACCAGGTTACCAGCCCCAATCAGGGAACTCATACTCCATGAGGTCCACTTGGCTGACCTCATTACAATCATTACATCCCTCCCCCTCTGGGTCCAAGGACACAGGCTGATTCTTTCTCATGTAGCTTCTCCTGGGTATTTTAGCACCGGGTCAGGTTCTTCCAACTCTGCCTCAGATATGGGCTGTGTGTAACGCAAAGTAGCTTGCCTCTTGTGCCCGGAGCATCACACAAGAAATTCATTCTCCTCTTCAGGTGGGAAAGGCGTTGAGGCGGTGACATTTGATGTGTCCAGCTCAGATTCTGAGGTACCCTTCAAAGCTTGAGAGAGAGGGAGAATCCATGGGTTCCAGAAAAGTTGAAAAGGCAGTTGAGGAGCTGAGGCATGTTTTGCTCCCGCACCATTTGCGAGTTTGCACCTTTCATATGGTCCGTGTACTTGTTCAGGACTGTTGTACCTACCTGAACTTCATATGTCACTGGACCTGACCTCCCTTCGACCATACCTCCTACCCATGCAGTGCCATTCCCCTGGCTCCTGCACTAAACTCTGTCCCCTGAAGTAAACTGCCTCTCTCGTTTAGTGGAGTCTAGTGCATTGGCAATCTGGTGCTGTTTTGCCCTCCTTCCCACATCTGGGAAGATCAGATTTAACCTGGTGCAGAGTCTTCTCCCCCATTAGCAACCCTGCTGGAGCTGTCCCTGCAGTTGCATGAGGGGTGGTCCTATAATCGAACAGGAACCAGGACAGTTTGGTCCCGAGTGAAGCTGTAGGCTATTTCTTTAAGCCTGCCTTCAAAGTTTGGACTGCTCTTTCTGCCAGACCATTGGATGGTGGATGGTATGGAACCGTCTAATATGTCAAATATCATTTGACTTTGGGAAATACTCAAACTCCCTGCTGGTAAACAATGGCCGTTATCTGTGACCAACACTCCCAGGAATCCATGTATTGTAAAAGATGTGTGCAGTGTTTCTATTGTCCCATCCATGTTTGATGAACTCTATGCACATCCAGCCATTTTGAGTGGGCGTCCACAATTACTAGGAACATTGAGCCCTTGGAAGGACTGTGTGTAACTGAGTCCAGGGTTTACAGATATGAGGGAGCTACTGGTGGTAATTTTTGTCCTTGTTGGCACTCTGGGCACTGCCCCACCAACGCGGGTTTTGTCTACATTCAATCCTGGCCACCGGACATAACTTCTCACCAACATCTTCATGTTGGAAACCCCTGGGTGACCCTGGTGGAGCTCAGTCAGTATCTGGCAGCGACCTTTGCTGGGCACAGTTCCCCATAATAACATACCATCCTGTGCTGTGATCCGGTCTATCTGGGTTCAGAAAGGTTTCAGTTCTGGCTGTGGTGGCCCTTTGGTTTCCCCATCACCACCAGCTGTTTTAGTTTTGCCAGAAGCGGATCTTCCTGCATCCAAAGTCTGATATTGTCAGCTGTGCCCAGGAAATTTAGAACCATTACAGACTTTTCCAGTGCCCGTACCCCCGATGGTGTACCTGCCAATGGGAGGAGCCTCAGTGCATCTGCATTTGCTACTTGGCCTCTCAGACGGAGCTCCAAGCTGTAATTACACACACTTAGTATTAGAGCCCAACACTGAACATAACCTGAAGCTATGGGCAGCACGGCCTTGTCCTCTTTAAGTAAACCCAGCAGGGGTTTGTGGTCTGTTACTTTTACAAATTTACATCCACAGAGGTATTGGTGGAACTTCCTGTCTCTAAATATGACGGCCAAACCTTCCTTCTCTATCTGGGTGTATTTACGTTCTGCATTAACCAAAGTCCTTACGCTGTTGGGTGTTCCTCTCCATTGGGCCATCAATGAGCTTATACTACCCCAGTGCCATATGGGGAGGCGTCACATGTCAATACTGGATCTCACTTGGGATCATATTGTGCCAACACCTTAGAGGATGGTAGCTGTTTCTTCACTTCCCTGAAAGCTATGACCTGGCTATGCACCATTTCCAAGGCTGACCCTTTTTTAAGAGTTGACACAAAGCTGCCAGGATGGAGGCCAGGTTATGTATGAACTTTCTGTAATAGTTCACGAGGCCAAGGAACTGGCCTAAGCTCCAGTACAGATGTGGGAGCTGGGGCACCTTTGATCGCCCTCACTTTCTCTTCCAACGGGTGTAACCCGATCCTGTCGACTCTGGAACCCAAATAGGTCACTTAGAATGTCTGGAACGCACATATTTCCTTTTTAAGACATACACCCGCCTGGGAGAAACATTTAAGGACTATGTCCAAATTCTCTAAGTGCTACTTACTGGTCTTTCCTGTTATTATTCCTGTTATCTAGATAAATGGCGATGATGTGGAGGTGCTGGTCTTGGACTGGGGTGGATAAAGTCAGATATCACACAACACCAGGTTATAGTCCCAGCTTTTGGAGCACTATTCCTTCATCAGCCCCAATGAGGGAACTCATATTCTGTGAGGTCCACATGGCTGATCTTGTTACAATGAGTGCAAAACCCATTATGTGAACAATAATAAACTTGCAGATTGATGGCCTGCACTACCCTAAAGGGCTTTGCATATAAATTAATCAACTGGACAATATGGGCGATTTACTTGTGGTATTTATTAGATGAAAAATTACCTCAGGTCATATGGAAAACAAGATGCTCAGTTGTGTGTAAGAGCACTTCTAGATATAAAAGAGAAAAATAAACTCGCAGATTGGGCACTTACTGCGCAGTGGTAGTGTCCCTGTGTCTGGACCAGGAGGCCCAGGTTCAAGTCCCACTTGCTCCAGAGGTGTATTGTAACAACCATGAACACTGAGTAGAAACATATCCAAATTTGTAGATTGGCAAGTCATTGGGAATTGAAGCTTAACAAAGATCAGTGGTATTGGGAAATTGTGAGTTTTGGAGTGGAAGGGATCTTGCAATATTGAAACACCCAATTACCAGAAGCTATACCTCATGTTAGCAAGGTCATTAAAAAGCAAACTAAACACTCGCTTTATTTCTGGAGGAATATAATTGAAAGGTAGGGCAGGGATGCTAAACCTGTATGGAACCTGTAGACTTGGTGGAGTTCTGATCACCATCAATAGATTCACTGGAGGCAGTACTGAGAAGATTGACAAGGAAGACACCAGAAGTATGTGTGTTTACATAGTAAGAAAGTATTGCCTTGAATAAAGAAGGATGTGGGGAGTTGGGGTCATCTGGTAAAGGTTTAAGAAAGTGATGGTTTTGATGGAGCAATGCAGGGAGTGTCTTCATCCTGGGGGTAAAGCTGACAGCAGAGAGTTCAGGTGGAGGTGTGAGACAGAGATGGAGCAGAATGCGAGAGCCACACAACATTCCCCGTTCATCACGCTCAGTGCCTATGGGCGGTATTTCCATTCGCACATTCCCACACCGGGATACACCTGCTGGGGAGATCTGTCAGCAATAATCACTCAGGATGCATTCCCTCAAAATCGGGTATAACAGCTATACTTCCACTCAGAGATCCAGGGTTCACTGTCCCAGCTAAGACGGGCCCACATTTATTCTTTATGTAGGGGACCAAAGGAAATCATCCTATTGATCCAATCCCAGCACATCATCTGCAGTGCTCCCGACCCAAAATTCATCCTGTTATTCAAGAGCTTCCTCCTGACTGTTTACCACACCACCAATTTTTGTGCTATTTGTGAAATTATTGATCATTCCTCGTACAATCATGTCTAGATCATTAATGTACATAACAAAGACCTAGCTGTGAACCCTGTGGTACATCGCAGGACACAAACTTTCTGACACACACACACCCTTCAACCATTATCCTCTACTTCCTGCCACTGAGCCAAGTTTGCAGCGAATTTTGCAAATTAGTCTACCATGTGAGACCTTATCAAAAGCCTTACTTATGTCCATGTAGACGACATCAACTGCACTGCCCTCATCTACACACCAAGTCACCTCCTCGAAAAATTCCGTCAATTTTATAAGCCACAATCTCCCCCGGCCAAGCTTCGCTGTCTATCCTTAAATAATCCTTGCCTTTCCAAATGGAGATGAACTCGGTCCCTCCGAATTTTTTCCAGTAGTTTTCTGATCATTGATGTGAGACTGACTGGCCTTTGGTTTCCAGGTTTAACCCTACCACCCTCCTTGAATAATAGTACCACAATAGCTGACCTCTAATCTCTTGGCACTCATCCTGTGGCAACAGAGGTTTTGAAAATTAATGAGCCCTGCAATCTCATCTCCTGCCTCCCACAGCAACCTTGGATGCATCTTATCTGAGCGTGGAAATTTATCTACTTTCAAGCCTGCTAAAACCATTAATACTTCCTCCGTTTCGATGCTAACGTGTTCAAATATGTCACAGTCCTCCTCTCTGGATGCTAGCCCTGCATCGTCCTATTCTATGATAAATAAGGATGCAACGTACTCATGTTAAAACCTCAGATGTCTTCCAGCTCCCCACACATACCCTTTAGTTCTTAGTGAGTCCCACTCTTTTCCTGTTTATTCTTTTGCGCCTAATATATTTGGGGTTAATCCAAAGGCATTTTCTTTTACCTGCCAGTGTTTTTTTTAATGTCCCCGCTTTGTTTTCTTAATTTCCTTTTTAAATAACCCCCCTGTACTTTTGAAATGCTTCCAAGATTTTCACTGTTTTGAGCCTCTGGTCATCTACCATATCCAGGGTTCTCTGCACTTGTTGGTTCCCATCCTTCAGTCCAGCAGCTATGTCCTTCAGGACCAGACCAGCTCGGTCAGTAGTGTCAAACCACTCTTGGTGGTGGACGTTGAAATCCCCCACCCAGAGTATATTCTGTGCCCTTGCCATCTCAGTGCTTCCTCTAAGTGTTGTTCAACATTGAGGAGTATTGTTTCAGCAGCTGAAGGAGGACGGTATGTGGTAATCAGCAGGATGTTTCCTTGCCCATGTTTAACTTGAAGCCATGAGACTTCATAAGGTCCGGAGTCAATGTTGAGGACTCCTAGAGCAACTCTCTCCCAACTGTATACCACTGTGCCGCCCCCTTTGCTGGGTCTGTCCTGCTGGTGAGAGACAGGACATATCCAGGGATGGTGATGGTGGTGTCTGGGATATTGTCTATAAGGTCTGATTCTGTGAGTATGACTGTGTCAGGCTATTGCTTGACTAGTCTGTGAGACAGCTCTCCCAATGTTGGCACTAACCCTCAGATGTTAATGAGGCAGACTTTGCAGGGTCAACAGGGCTGTTTCTGCTGTTGTCTTTTCCTGTGCCAAGGTCAATGTTAGGTGTTTTTTTTTCCTTTTTTCAGGGGTTTTTTTTGGCAGTTTAGAAAGCATCTGATTGGTTTGCTGGGTCATTTTGGAGGGTAGTTAAGAGGGGTTAAGATTGCTCAGTTAGCTATGGGTCTGGAGTGCCATGTAGGCCAGACTGGGTCAGTACAGCAGCTTCCTTCCCTAAACCACAAACAGTGTACCTGATGGGTTAATATGACCGAGGTTTCATTGTCATCAATAAACTTTTAATTCCAGTTTTTTTTTAAAACAACATGTTGAATTTAATTCCACCATGGGCTATGATGGGATTTGAACCCAGATTCTCAGTACATTACCTGGCTCTCTGGATGACTAGTCCAGTAACAATGCTATCACCCTCCCTTCCATCTTGCTGACCTGTTCAGCAATCAGAAAACATTTGTCTCACTTTAATCCATTTATCGAAAGGTTTTAGTTGTTAAAATGAACACACTTGAAGGTAACTGACTGACGTACAGACTGGTTCCCCTCAGCTGCAATGCTCTGTTCAACATTGACTTAATCCCTGGCCTCAGCAGACCATGTGATCTCTAGTGAAATGTAAAAACCTGCAGATAAAATACCCAGGGGGGATAATATGCCAAAAACACTTCTCAGAAATTCCACCCTGTCTCCTTGGGATGATCACATTGGGTCCATGAGATCTTTCTGGCCCTGAATGTTCCCAGGACAGTTGTTGTTTCACTCCCTGTTTCACTCACAGTATTAGAACACACAGCTAGGGGGGCTCTGGTTTCCACTTGTCTGTTATCTAACTCTGTGAGCAAAGTCACTATCCCAACATTTAATGACAATTGAAAACTGGCCGATGGTCCTTCTGTGCCCTTCCAACTTCAGTAAAAACTCTTCCAAATCCTTTCTGTCTACAGGTTGTTTTTATTACCGATTAGATGAGGGCGTCGCTGACTAGGCAGCATTTATTGTCCATCCCTAATTGCCCAGAGGGCTGTTAAAAGTCCATCATATTGCTGTGGGTCTGGAGTCACATGTACGCCAAAAGGATGAGTGAGGGTGAGGGGTCGGTGAGGGTGAGGGATCGATGATGGTGAGGGTTCGGTGAGAGTGAGGGATCGGTGAGGGTGCGGGATTGGTAAGGGTGAGGAATCAGTGAGAGTGAGGGATCAGTGAGGGTGAGGGATCAGTGAGGGTGAGGGATCGGTGAGAGTGAGGGATCGGTCAGGATGAGGGATCAGTGAGGGTGAGGGATCGGTGAGGATGAGGGATCGGTGAGGATGAGGGATCAGTGAGGGTGAGGGATCGGTGATGGTGAGGGATCGGTGATGGAGAGCCAATTGGTGAGGGTGAGGCATCGGTGATGGTGAGGGATCGGTGATGGTGAGGGTGAGGGATCAGTGATGGTGAGGGATCAGTGAGAGTGAGGGATCGGTGAGGGTGAGGGTGAGGGATCGGTTATGGTGAGGGATCAGTGAGGGTGAGGGATCGGTTATGGTGAGGGATCAGTGAGCGTGAGGGATTGGTGATGGTGAGGGATCGGTGATGGTGAGGGATCGGTGAGGGTGAGG